GGCGCGACGCGCGGCTTCAGTACGTCGACTCGCTCCCTGGTACTGAGCCTTTCTTACCAAGCCAATGGCACCGATCCCGGCGCCGCGACTGCCACTGGCGTCGACGCCGCCACGGGTCACTCCGGGAGGTACTTCTGCATACATCCATCGTTGCTCTTTAGTGCTACCTCACGCAGCGACGGTAGCGCCCCGGTCTGCCACGCCCAATAATACGTCTGGCTTGACCGACGCCAACCTCGCAACCGCGATCGAGGCGTACGCGCAGGCGATGGAACGCTGGCTGCAGACCCACGACGAGGGATGCGGCCACGCCGTCGTCTACTCGTGGAAGATCCAACTGCCGTTTGTGCTGCCGCGCGCAGTGGTCAAGAGCCACGTCATGCCAGCACTTGTACAAGATCCGCGCTTTCGCCACCGCCCGAGCTTCCTCTCCAACGTGTGCTTTGGTCGGCGCAGCTCGTCGGGCGATGCGACCGCCAGTGTCCACAACATTGTGGACCAAGTGACGCCCTATTACCTCACGGCGATGCTCTCAACGACGAAGAAGGGCAAGGCGTTCACCGAAGCCGACATTCTCGGGCAGCTCCGTGTACCGTCGCACGTGAGCACGAAGGCGGTCCTCGCCGGCATCCTCGATACGCTCAAGCTCCATCCGGACGTCACGAGCTCGGTTGTCGGTGGCCGCGTCTCGTTTCAGGCGTTGCGCCAGCCAAAAAACCCAGCTCCGTCGCCCGTCCCTCCTTCCACGACCAAGCAGACAACACTTAGCCAGACTCCGAACCCGACCACGAAGAGGACGGACATGGCCTTGGAGCCTTACGTCGCCGCGCACGCGTCCGAGTATGTCGACGCGATCCTCGAGTGGGTCGCCTCGGACAATGCGTTTTACACGTCGTACATTCGCGGGCAAGTGCGCCCGACGCTTCCCGACGACGTGGATTTGGACGCTGTCGTTGCTGCGATCGTGCAGTCGCTCCGCCGCCACCCGCAACTGACCTACTCGGACGCTGACCCGACGCGCCCGTGCTTTGTTCGCGCCGGGGGTACACCGCCTGCGATGCCATCGCCCAAGGCCAACGACACGTGGAAGAGCCCGTCGTCGGCCACGTCGTTCCGTACGACCTTTTTGTTGTTGGGAAAGGTTGGTCTGATGCAGCTTTTTCGACTAGGAAGCCGATCCAGCTCTGGCGCAGAGTCGAGCAGCGATGAGAGCAGCGACGACGAGGACGAGGACGATGAGAGCAACGACATGGAGAAGAGTACCACCCCTCTCGAGAGCCTAGAGACACTCGACCCACAAGGCCCCGCAACGACTCACTTAATCTCCACCGTCCATGACCTGCAGGACGCCATCACGACCCATGCGATCTTGCACAACCCGGCGCAGGCGCGAGTCATGACCCTCTATGGCTATGGCACATTGCCTCATGCTCTCCTTGCACTCGCGTTTACGGGCCATACGCTGGTCCTCGACTGTGCACAGATTCCAGCGTCGGCCTTGTCGCACGCGCTAAGTCCAGTGCTCCAGTCGCCCAGTGTTACCAAGATCGTTTACAACACCCACCCCTTTTCCTCTCTCTTCTCGGCCATTGGCGACAATCGGCTCGTCTCTGTCATCGACCTCGAGCTCCTCTTTGAGCACCAGACGTCGCGCTTCAACGTCTCGTTTGCCGAGATGCTCTCGGTCGTTGGGCTACCCGCGCACCCGCACCCGCGGTACCTCGACCGACCCGACTTTTTGAACCACCGCCCGCTGCTTCCAGAAGCCACGCAAGCCGCGGCGGCGACGGTCCAACTGCTGCTTCAAGCCTCGGATGTCCTCGCCAAGGCCATCTTTGACAACATATCGCCGCTCATGTCAGCCTCCAACCAGCGCCTGCATCACGCGATTGCTTCCGATGGCCAGCGATCGCTCTGCTTTGATGCGCAACACAATCAGCGCCTTGTCTCGACCGAGTACCTCCAGGCGTGGCGGCCCCACGACGTTATCTCTAGTCCGCCGGTGGTCATCCACGAAGACATGGACGACATTTTGGGGTTGCTGCCACCTGACCTCGCGGCACCTCTGCTCCAACCCGACGTCAGCGCCAAGCTGCTCGACATCGTCTTGGACCTCGGACGCCGACCGTGGGCGTGGGTCGATGGCGCGCG